GCTGGTCAGGCCGCAGCTGGAGTACTGTGTCCAGTTCTGGGTGCTGCACTTCAAGAAAGACATGGAGAACCTAGAGAGGGTCCAGAGGAGGGCCACTCATATGGTTGGGGGTCTCCGTGGCCAGCACTATGAGGAGAGGCTGAGGGACCTGAATCTCTTCAGTCTCCGCAAAAGGAGACTGAAGGGGGTTCTTGTGGCTGCCTACAACTTTATCAGGGGCCACCAGCAGGGACTCAGGGAAAGTCTGTTCACCAGGGCCCCCCTTGGAGTCACCAGGAACAGTGGCCACAAGCTGAGGGAGGATAGGTTTAGGTTAGATATTAGGAAGAACTACTTCACCATAAGGGTGGCCAGAGCCTGGAATAGGCTTCCCAGAGAGGTGGTGTTCTCACCTTCCTTGGAGATCTTCAAGAGAAGACTGGATAGGCACCTGGCTGGGGTCTTATGACCCTTGCCACCCCCAATGCTCCTTCCTGCCCACGGCAGGGCGTCAGACTAGATGATCTGTCTAGGTCCCTTCTGACTCATTGATTCTATGATACCATTCCCCTCAGATTAGGTCTTCAAAGCCTAATCAAATGTATTTAGGCTTGGACAGCACCAGCAGTTTGTTTCACCAATTAACCAAAAAAACCCCAAAGCCTCCATGTTAAAACATCAGTAAAAAACAAATAGTTAGATATGCAAACCAGGAGAGACAAATGCTGGGGAACCAACAAAATTAAGTCAACCATTTTGTTTTCTATTCCTACAGTTTCCACCTAAATACATAACTTAGGTAATGATACTTGATCACATATAAACAATAACAAAACATGGAAGATGCACAGCACAACTGAATTACTGTTTTTATTTCCTGATTACCCACTTCATAGATTTTATAGACATTTGGGCTGGAAGGGACCCCAGAGGATCGTTTCCAGCCCCCTGCCCCCAGGGCAGGAAGTCAGCAGGGATCACAGGATCCCAGCAAGACACACATCCAAACGCATCTTGAAGTCATTCAAAGTGGGTGCTTGAACCACCTCCAGCAGCAGTTTATTTCAAAACTTGGAGGCTTGGACAGTAAAGAAGTTCTTTCTTATGTCCAGCCTGAATCAGTCGCGGCAGAGTTTGTAACCGTTTGATGTCGTCATCCCTTGGGGCGCTCTGGTGAACAGATGTTCCCCCAGATCCTGATGAGCACCCCTGATAAATTTATAGGTGGCCACCAGATCACTCCAAAGCCTGTGCTTTTCCAGGCTGAAGAGCCCCATGGCTCTCACCCTGTCGTTGTAACATCTGTTTTCCTGACCTCTGATCATGCGCATGGCTCTCCTCTGCACTCTCTCAAGCTTCTCCACATCCTTTTTGAATTGTGGAGCTCAAAACTGTACGTTGTACTCAGCCTTGGTGAGGCTGCAGCTGAAGTACTATAGGAGAATGACGTCCTGGGATTTACTTGAGAAGCATCTATGGATGCAAGCCAGCGTTTTGCTCATTTTGCTAGCCGCACCACACTGAAGGCTCATGTTCATCTCATGGTCAGTCATGACCCCCAAGTTCCTTTCATCTATACTGCAAACCAGCATAGCACTGCTGAGCCTATACGCATGCTGCATGTTTTTCCTCCCAAGGTGGAGAACCTTGCATTTTTCAGTCTTAAACACCATCAGGTTCTCATCCGCTTATTTCCTGAGCCTGTCGAGACCCACCTGGATCACCCTCCTGTCTTCAGGTGTGGATGCTTTACCCCAGAGCTTGGTGTCGTCAGCAAACTTGGCCAGTTCGCTTCTGACACCAATGTCCACATCATTGATGAAGATGTTAAACAGTATAGGCCCTAGGACAAAGCCTTGAGGGACCCCACTGGTCACAGTGCACCAAGACGATTGGCTCCCATCAACCACCACCCTCTGGGTCCTACTGCAGAGCCAATTCCCCAGCCAGCAGATTGTGGTGAGGTCGAGGCCACAGTTAGCCAGTTTAGCCAAGAGGTGATTGTGGGATACCAGATTGAAGGCTTTTTTAAAGTCAAGATATACAACGTTGAAATCTTCCCCCTCGTCCAGGTGACATGTCACCTGGTCATAAAAGGAAATGAAATTGGTCAGGCAAGACCTACCCACAACAAACTCATGCTGGGTATCCCTCAGCATATTGCCTTAAGCTAGTCCATTAAGGATGGCCTCTTTGATAATCTTTTCCAAGATCTTCCCCAGGATGGGCACTTGACAACAATCTAAATGTTACATTATCTAGATGTGGACAGGGTTTTGATCTACTGCTTCTGAAAAAGTCAAGACCCTTAGATGTAAGACATTATGTGTAAAGTGTTATTCCAAGCATCTCAAAAATAAAACAAATTACTTATATCCACTCCAACTGGCATTCAATTACAAAAAGATGCCCTTATGTTTTATTACAAACTTGAATCTGACAATTTGGGATGAAAATATTACCTTGCAAACAGTTGGTTCGGTTAAAAAAAATACACCTTCATTCATTTTCAAGTTGTTTATTAAAATTCAGTTTAAAGCAACAGAAAATAATGATTCTACAGGAATATCAAGATGATTTTTTGTTAAACACAGGAACAAAGGACACCCTTTCCCCAAAGGTTAGGAAGCTGGAGAAACAGTGAACATTTCTTCTTGTGACATTTCTAGTTCTATTTGGTGAAAGCATACTGTGAGAAAGCAGGAAAAAAGTTCAAAAGCATATGAGAACACAGGTAACCCAGTCAGAAAGCTGAACAGCATCTCATTAGAAACAACAATCTGCTGTAGAATTCATCATGAATACTATAATAAGATAGCAAAATAATCAAAGAAAGCTGGTTTATTTATACACCTCTTTGATAACAGAACTACAGTTTGAGTTAACTCCTCAATACCTTAACTCCCAGCATTTAGTTCCTAACCCCTCAAAAATGCATATCTAATGCCAACTCATTTCAGTATTTGTGTTGATGGCCACACATGGGAATTTAATTCCATATTCTGCCTTAATACTTTTACTACTCTTTGTTTTCTATTGCTTTAGACTGTATTTGTTTCTACCTTAACTTCCTAAGACCCACAGCGCTAAATGTCTGCAGAAGTCTAGTTCCACTTTATTAAATCCTTTAATGAAATCTGAATTCTTTCATTAGGTCACCTTGACATCCCCTAGCAAGATGTAGCTTACCTTCTTTTAAAAAAATTGTAACACACCCACACGCACACCCACACCCACACCCACACCCACACCCACACCCACACCCACACCCACACCCACACACGAGAAAAAATACATCAAC